AAAATCAGTATATTTTGTTACATAATAATCAACGATGGATCGAGTGGCGCAGTGGTGATCTATGCGCATGTTTATATGGGTGATCGGGAGTATGATCTCAGCCTCGCGAAAAAATTTCATTTTTTTTATTATTATTAAAGGCCGCTTCAGCGCGCGGGCCATAAGGCCCGAGTTCGGCCCACGCGCAGCCCGTCCCATGTCTCAGCAGATGAAGCCCGAGAACCCGAACCCAACCCGCAAGCCTTCAGCCCTTCAGATTTGGGCTAGACCTTAAATTTCGGCCCAATTGTGGGACTGAAATTTCAGCTTCGGCCCAGTTCAGTTTTTAGCCCAAATTTGAGTTTTGGAAGTCGTTTTTCGTACCGATTTCAATTTTAAAAATATTTTTAAAATGATGAAGTTCTGGGAAAATTTATTTAAGTCCCGAGACTCCAAATTTTACCCTCCGAGTCTTATTTTTCAAAAATGAGAGAGTTCCAAGTCCACGAAAAATCTGATTAAAACCCTTAAGACTTAGGGGGTGATTGTTTACAAAATATTTCACCTCAATTATTTCCAATTTTAATTCACTATTCATCCACTCACATAATTTTAACTACCAATCATTTTCAATCATTTATCTCCTACTTTATATCAAATCAATTTTAATTATTTTATTTTAAATATTATTTTAATATATTTTTTAAATACCACTAATAATTAACTACACTACTTTTTCAACTTTAACCATAGTTAACCAAAATGAAATATTTTGGATGAAATATTTTATAAACAATCATGCCCTTAATTTTTATTAAGTATAAGTTTTATATTAAATTTGAGCAGTGAGATAAATTATTGATAAATTATCTCGCTTAAATGTAGGTGTTTGAGGAGTCAAGCGTCATCCTACGTACTTGCTCTTGTGTGCAATTTTCTACCGAGCTATCCAGGTGGGTTTTAATCTAAAATTTGCTATGCCGTATGTGTTTGGTTTGATGTTGAGTTGGTATGAGTTAAGTATGTATGTGAACCATGTAGCCTATCGGCGGGAGCCGATTTCGGCCATCGGTACGGTTGTCCCCGTCGATGTAATACGGTTACCTTGCGAGGTAAGTCTCCGTAAGACCTAATGAAAGACCGTGTCTTGTCGTATGGCACGTATTCCCATGAGTTAGGGTAATGAATCCCCTTTCCTTGGCTAATGAAAGATGTGTACACGTGGGAAATATATTGTGATGTGATTAGGAAACGTGACAGAATAATTGATTTATGTTCATACTTTAACCATACCTCCGTTACATTATTATTGATGATATATATGCATAGTGGTGAGCACGCTTTTCATTTTGTGCTCATCCCCACCTGCTCTTCACCGATGCAGGTTAAGCAGGAGCTGGGTAACGAGAAGAGGCGAGTGGGTCGGTCATGCATTTATTGCTTCCGTTTGAATAAATAAAACTTTATGAACCTTTATGTTGAGACTTGCTTAAACCTTTTTCCAAAACTTATGACTTGTTTGTTTTTGGAAAACTTGTGGAACCCTTGATTATTGGGTATGATGATGTGGTTGATTATTCATGTTGAGTATTAAGTCTCGTATGATATGTTTTGGTTAATGAAAACCAATTGTGAAAACCGGGTAATGAATCCCCGTGGGCCCAGATAAGACTTGGGTTATGAAAAATGTTGTTTAACACCCATTAAATTTCGAAAATGATCTCGAAAAATTTGTACTGATTTTTGGAAAGTTCGGAATTTCTGTAAAATCAAAGTGGGGTGTTACAATTCTATTCCAACTAGATCTCTTAAACATGAAAGAGAATAAACTCCGAAGGAAAGTAAATATCCTATTATCTAGAATTACTATGTAGATAAAATACTACTAGGCACATGCCTTTATTTAAGATCTCCTAATCATACTAGAAAGCTAATAAAATCAGATCTCTTGCTTGCTCCCTACTCCACTCGATCGCGCTCC